AATTGTGATTATTATAAATTTGGTTCTAAATTCAGCGTTACACACTGCGAATACCAATAAAGCCATCTTGTATCTTGTATCTAACATTCCTTCTTGCATTCTGCAATTAGACTTCACAATAAATCAACTCCCTGGTGTCTGTATTAGCCTCGGTCTTTGCTTTCCTGTGTTGTATTGTGTATTAAGTGTTACTTTAACAAGTGTAATTAATAAACATGTATCCATATGAACCATAATAGTTAACATCGATCTACACAATTATATGTACCGCTTTGTAACCTAATGTGAAACACCGCTGTTGTAGCAAACTTAACACAACTCAGTGAAGACACACAATGTTTTTCCCTGCCAATGTGTGTTTGAAATTGAATTAAACATTGAAAATAAATTTTAAAAAAAGAGATTACTTCTATGTTAGGAATCAGAGTCAGCGCGATGAAAATATGAGTTATATATCATATCATCAAGGAAATTGTTGATGCGTGGAGATCTCTCAGCCTGCCAATAAACAAGATAATCTAGTTAAGGACACTGGAGGATCAAAGAAGTCAGGATAGCCGTGGGCGGGAAGCTTCATGATGGGAACGTCTTTGTTGTCATCCCTTAGACCGGAGATAGAGGCTACATCTTTCTCATCCTTAACTTCGTTACTAACTCCCTTGCTTGTCGCTAACTCTATTACTACCCCCGCTCACGAAACCGTCCGAGGCGGGCCCGGCGCGCGCTTTGATGCGACAACTCTCGCCTGAGAGAACGTTGGTCTCCCGATTCTGACGCCGTTTAGTCGCGTGGCTAATTTATAAACCGTCTTCCAACAAAATAAGGGGGCAAAACAACCCCAAACCCTAGCCTCTACCAGGCGTCGGAAATGTAGAGTATAAAGATGTTCATTGAGAAGAACATGACACAGTGGCAAGACACAATGTCGTAGTTTTGGTGTGCTTTTTGGAAGAAATTCAGTGTGTTGTTGTGTTGGGTTTGGGCAGCCTCTACCAGGCTTCGGGAGGCGGCCGGAGAGAGTAGAAATTGGCCAGATAGAGAGAATAACAAGCCAGGGGAATTGGTCCAGTAGAGAGAACTGTTTGTCGCAGCCGGACTAACTCCCCTGGCATATTATCTCTCTATTTGGCCGATTTTTACTCTTTCCAGCCGCCTCCCGAAGCCTGGTAAAGGCTACCCAAACCCAACACAACGCAACGACACAAAACTACGAAATTGTGCCTTGCCATTTTGTCATTTTTTTTTTCAATAAACATTCTAATTCTTTACATCTCTAAAATCTCAGCAAAAGGCAATTGGGTAATCATATGAAAAACATCCTGTTATGTTCAAATGGTATCATGTGCATGGATTTAAAAGAAGTTAAATTTTGCAAACCAAAAGCGGCGCCTAGCAGCTTCTTGTAGTACTGAACCGATTTCAACTGAACCGTACTTTAAAATGTTGTTCTACGTATGACACTCACGTTGTTCCTTAGCCTCTACCAGGCTAAGGGGCGGCTGGAAAGAGTGGAAATTGGACAAATCGACAGATAACATATCAGGGGAGTTAGTGAGCTAAAGCCCCTGTCACACATTCACGAATTTGGCCTCCCGAACGCTTAGCACAGTTTGTCGCTCTGAACTGCTAATAGTGGACAAACTTCCTGGTGTGTTATCTATCTATTCGGTTAGTTTCTACTCTTTCCAACCGCCTCTGAAGCCTGGAAGAGGCTAGTTGATCCTGTCTGCCGAGCAGTCCCAAATGTTTTTCACACAAAAACCGGTGTAAACTAGAACTGGGGTACAGTGGTGCAGTAGTCCCCACTGAATCTGGAACATTGCGTGCAGAGATCAATAGCAATATTCCGACTTGGTCTGGACAAGATCCTGATTTCAGCTTGTGAAGAATTCATGAAACCACCGATTATCGACCATTTAGCGGACTGATTACCACCAATTACAGGTATTAATAATTGAGGACATTTTGTCCGACGACTGTGCGGTACATTTTACAGACCATAGACAGATCTCACTCTGGGCCACTGTCCGTGTTAGGGCATTGTTGTCCGTGGTCAATTACTGTGTCCTGTCAGCATTACTTCGCTAATGACTATGGACATATGGGACCCAGGGGGACTTCAAACATGGAGGGATACACCATGAAGATTTAAGTACACTTGGATGGGTAGCTTTTGAAAAAGGTAAAGGGAGCAGGATAGGTTTTTAAACTAAAAACTAAAAAGTTGAATCAAAACTATCCCATGGCCTACTGATATCTGTGAGGCAAAATGCGATGTCGCTGACGGAAAACGGTTGCTTGTTTTGTATACATATCGTAGGCTGGTCCTATATATCTATGGGCGGCACCCAAAGAGACGCTTCTCGTAGCTTGTTTTGGGTTCTATTCCAAACGATTCAAGTATGAAATGCATGATGACGATATTGTGATGAGCACAAACAAAAATGACAGTAAATGTCAATATCAGACAGATTTCCTCATTCAGAATATTTTTTCTTTGGTAGCCCTGAAATTGCATTGGATGCCATCTGGTCTATCGTACACACTGTTTCCGCAGATCTAAGTCGAGGATAATGAAATAGTTACAGATACATGTAACGCTCATCAGGCTTTAGTGTACACTGATGAGGTAATCGATAGGTAAATTGGCGATCATGATTGGTGTATATTCACTCGCTAATTAGATTACAACAAAGAGGTGACGGGATCACCCTGTCAGCAGAAAAGGCTTGACTTGTATCTCTATGTTCTGATCACAGCAAATTAATTTATCTTAAAAAAACTGAGACTTCTTACTTTATTCATTATTTTTCTGTCTACCTGTCCATGCATGTTGTCACTGCTGTAAACTGCCACACTACCATCCCGGCTATCGGCCAGCTTCTGGGACCTAAATTCCTGTGTCTGACCTTTTGTGGTCTGTGGTTAGGTAACTCCAACCACCCACGCGTGATGTCACTCAACTGTACAGACGCACAAGCATACGGAGAGAGATAAACGGATGTGGGAAGGGACACACGGAAAGAGACACAGAGAGAGAAAGAAGAAGAAGAGAGGAGCAGAGAGCGAGAGACGCACAGAGAGAGAGAGAGAGAGAGAGAGAGAGAGAGAGAGAGAGAGAGAGAGAGAGAACGAACGAAC